AGCTATGAGTCCCAAGGAATATTCTAATGGTAATTAGAGGTGAAAGGAATAATTACAATTTAAATATTTCTTTAGATTTATCTAAAAGTGTAATCTGAAGTCTTCTAACTTTATCATAAGTCAAAGGCAGTTACTTTTATGCCTTTTCATGTCCGAAAATTCCTTTAATATTTCTTTTTCCTAAGCTGAAGTAACTAAGATTGGAAAATGAGCAAAGTATTGCAATGGTAGAAGCATATCAGAATCTACATGGGCTTGAGCTGAGAAATGAGGCTCAATGAAAACAAAGTTACTGCCTTATAAGTCACCTGCAATGTCAGTAGTGTATTCACCACTTTGATCCACCCAATATTTATTTTGCCATTTCCCCTTTTATCTTTGATGCACACGTAGTGTCCAGACCCATCATGCAAGCAGGACTTGTTGGCCTACCTGGAGCAGATTAAGTTCTACTCCCATCAACTGAAAATCTGCAGTCAAGTTAAAGCTGAGATCCAGAACCTGGGGGGAGAGCTCATCATGTCAGCTGTGAGTACACACCATCAAAGGTGGAGGATGCTCAGAGTACCTGCACCCCAGCTTTCACATCCAAATCTTTCAGATAAATTCAGCTTGAAATAAACTCAATCCAAGATTGTAGAAAAGTACATGTAATTAAACTAGCAAGAAATCAGATTTCTTAAAGAAATGTTAAGTAGGTACAACTTTTTATTTACATTGGATATTGAAAGAATAAATCAGGTTTTATAAGCCACTGGATGAAACATGCATATTAATTTAGAGCATGGTTTTCAGACCTCAGAAAGTGTGCAGATGGAACCCTGAAATGAATCCTGTGTTTTTTCTAACATAAACGCATATGGAATTGCAAATTAATAAAATGATTGCCTTATTGCTGTTAATGGATTTTCATTTTCCCCTTATTCATTTTTATTACATAGAAATTCATGCCTTGAGATTTTTTATTTCCATATATACTTTTAAAATTGGAATATGTTAAAACATTATAGATTTAGAGGAACTTTCATAAATTCTTTGGTGGCCCTGAGTTTCAGGCTGCTATAAAATTACCACGGTAGAAGTAATGTCTAACTTTTCTACTCATCTTTTAATAGTAGTAGATCATTTCTCTGAAGCAGGTA